ACGGTGGTCATCCAAATAGAAAACTAAAAAGTTCAAGAGCTTCCATATGGGACTACGTTTAAGTACCAGAGCAGTATAAATGAAACACTATTGATCACATTTTGAATGTTTACATATTTACCAGGCTTTTACTCCTGTGCCGACAGGGTGGGACTCAAATTACAGATAGCATACTGGCTTTACTGTTTTATTTCTTATATATTATCTTGTTGAAGGAAAAATAATAATTCTTTCATTTCTCAAAAATGAATCAGCTGTTTCCAACTGCTGAACTTACAAAATTACTTTGATCTGGTGCTAAAGTCATAACAGCACAAACACTCCATTAAACACATACGAAAACTCCATTTAACACACAAATTTTGTGAAAACTCCTAAATCCTCTTACACACATATAGTGTACAGATTCCCAGAGCAACAATTGGAACTATTATTTTACTTGAGTGTTTTACAAGGGCAGGCTAAGGCTTACTGTTATAGTTAGATTTAGCATACACATTTTTTTTTAATTTCCCTTTTTTTTTGTTTCCTCTTTGGGTTTTGCTGGATTTGTTTGTTTGTTTGTTTCTACCAAGAAAGGTAAGGTATAGTTTCAACTTGTATCTTTCCAATGTTGAAGGCATGCTCCTTGTTACAGCTTTTACGTCATGACATTTACTCCTTTTCTATGTCTTCTAGATGTCACTGCTTCATGGAAGTTTTCATTGGTTTCATTTCATCATACACCTCGTTGATTGTTCTTATATAACCTCTAATAGAAGTATAATCTAATATAACCAAAAAAATCCACTACCTCATTGTGGACCAAAAAAAAATGTGCATAAATGTTTTCCCCACTTACATTGCATGTTAGCGGTAAAAAAAAAAATTTAAATTAACAAAAAAATTATATATATATAAAAATAAAAAGAATAAAAAAAAAAAAAAAAAAAAAAAAATGGAGGGAAAATTAAAATTAAAAAAAAAAAAAAAAAAATTTAAAAAAAATTTTTTTTTTTTTTTTTTTGAAAAAAAAAAAAAAATAAAAAAAAAAAAAAAAAAAAAAAAAAAAAAAAAAAAAAAAAAAAAAAGAAGGAAAAAAAAAAAAAAAAAAAAAAAAAAAAAAATTTTAAAAAAAAAAAAATAAAAAAAAAAAAAAATTTAAATAATGCTGTGTTGACTTACAGATCTTTAAAATAGTGTTTTTCTTAAAACTGTTTAACTGTCATTTGTTGTTAAAATTTTATTAGTTCTGTCATAATATAACATACAAAAACCTTGTGTTTGATATTAAAATATGTTGAAATATTTATACACTAATAACAAAATCAGTTTGATTTATTTTTATCTTACCTACCTTGATGGCCCAACTTTAGTTGCTGAACTCTGCCTTTCTGTTTCTAATGGATGATTCAGATAAAAAGTTTTAAAAGCTGTTGTCATGCAACCGCTGTAGTTACAACTGTGGCTATGTTATGAGATCTTCATTCAATTAATCATTGTCTACTTAACTTTCTTCATTGTATTTGTATTGACCAGATTCAACACATAAATAAGCCATTTCAGTTTAAGTGTACTTATTTTTTTTGTGTGTAAAATTAGCTACTGCCACTAAATTGTTTCTGTACCAAATAAGTTTAGATACCAACTTTCTTAATGGCCCCTTAGTAAAAATCAAAAGCCACAGCTTAGCTTTTTAAAAATTTAGTTCCGTGTTAATAGACTCAATTTCATCAAATCTGATCAAACTTGATTGCTGTATTAAAAAAATGCTGTTATTATTGTTGTTGGTTTTTTGTATTAATTTTCTTGTTGCATGTGGATACTCTGTAAGTGTAGTTGAAATCTACTGTGTCTTCATTGAGCCATAAATGTATGAGTTCTAGGATTTGATTTCCCTGTGGTCACAGAAGCTATGATTTAACTTCTGATATTCTTTAACTGTGTTACAATTTACTAAGAAGTATTTTTTGTAGCTAGAGTAAACAAAAAAAAACATATATTTGTCAGTTTCAATTACTTTAAAGTCAGAGAAGGTGAAAAAATGGAATTAACCGTAAATAACGTGCTTTACAATGTCACTGCAGAATGAATGTTTTTCTTGGCTGTATAAGAAAAACTTTACAATATAAAGTTGATTTTATCAATAGCTGCAGCCTTTGCTCTCTTTTGAAATACTTCAGAGTTTACTAATTTTTAGGTGTTCAACATGTCCAAAGGCACAATCACAGGTCTGAGAGCAAGATTTTCTTGAAGTCAAATAATAAGATTACTATTTGGAATATACACAATTCAAATAATTGATGAGTGCTGCTAATGGCCATAAAAAAGTGTTGAGGGTGTAAAACTGAAACTAACTGATTTATTGACTGATCATTTTTACAAACCGAGAACTTTAGTTAAGAGAAGTTTCTAATGAGGTTAGTTTCTAATGAAAATTTTCAGTTATTATAACCAACAGAATTCAAACATTTGGACTGTGCATTTAATATTTTACCTTTTGTGCAAGTTTTCGTTGATTTCGCTCTGCACTTAGAGGCACTATATAAACAAAGTCATCAAATGTTAGTTGTGAAACAGAAACTCACATTACCTATTACTTACCTATTTTTTTCAAACAGATTTTTACAGTATTAATTAATTTAAGTTGTTAGAATTTCTAAAAGTATTTGCCAAACATTTTAGAAACAAAATATGATGTTGCAACTTGAATTTAAGACTTGTAATGAACAATTACAGCTATAAAATGTTCAAATCAAAGGCAGTTTAAGAAAATGAGATTAGTTTTCCTTTTATAAAAAGTAACTGTTGATATAAGAAAAAAATTTAGTTATCAACCTGACATGTGTTTTGTTGTTTTATAGCATTCGATTTTCTGAGGACCCAAAGCAAACGCAGCCTCTTTCTTATTTGTTTGAAACTGTATATGAAATGGAGTTTGATACTGTAGTATTAGAAGCATGCTCATTCCTCGTGTCTAACACATTGTAAACTTTTTTATTTTTAAGATACACCATACTCTACAGGATATACATTTTAATTAAAAGAAACTACATACATTTTGTTGTGTAAAATAAAAAAATTAAAACTTTTCGAACAAACTGTGATTTAAATATATCTCATCAAATAATTTTATGAATTTTGACATTTTTGTAGCAAATCACCCTTTTTTAATAAACAAAATTTAAAATACACATTTTTTCCTGTGTTTTAAAATAGACTTCTGAAATTTTTTTTATAGAGGCATTGTTTTAAAGAGGCAAAATATTTAACTTACAGAGATAAGATCAATTATAACTTCCTCTATAATATTTATGTTACTAATTTTAATAAGCTTCATTTTCTTTATTTTATTTTTTTTTTTGGTAATCTTTTTAAGACCATTGTGTTGAACTTGAGAAAATTGCTCTATAACAAAAGAGACATTACTAATGTTTCATGATGTGCATAGATTTGGTTCAATTATATTTGTACATAAAAATATAGTAAAAAGGCTTGAAAAGAAAAGCCTGTTAGGTATTTCTTTAATAGATGCTAACAATGGATAAATAAGTGGGGGTGTTTGCTTTATTCCAACAAACAAGGTAAAGAAATTTTTTTTAAATAATTGATTTGGTTGTTGGTAAAGAGTGTTTTTCAAGGCTCTTGTGATTTGAAGGATGGATAAATAATTGATTATCTTTGCTTCTCATATAAAATGTAATGGTTTGTTCTATACTGCCAACCCACATTAAGTTTATATCTTAGAACAGTCCTGGCGGAGTAGTCAATCCAGAAAATTTAAGTCGTCCTTTTTAAGCATACATTATCTTAACTGTTACCAAAAAGTGTAAAAAAGAAAAGTTAAAGAAAAAAGACTAGAAACTGAATAAAATATAAATATTACATCATAATATACCAATCAAGTATTTAATACTATGTTTTTTGTCATAAGCTTACAACAATTATAAGGCTTGTGTGATTTTTGTAACTGTTAATTTTCATATATTATATTTAATAGCCATAGAATTTTTTGTTTGATAAAGGTTCACCTTGAACTGAACTGTGATTTGTTGTTTCATATTGTTAAGACAACAATAACATCACATGCAAATTGTGGTAAAGTCAGTAAATAGCATGTAGTCTCATTTATTGTATTTGTCGTGCGGCTTTGTATAAAACCTACATTTATGTATTTAACTCAATAACTCTAATGCTATTTACTTTTTGTTCCTTTACTTACATTCTGTTCAGACTATACTTTATTATGCTTAACATCTTATAACCCTTAACCCCACCCAATCCCATTATATATTTTTTTTTTATGTAAAAGAAAAGGGAATTATATTTGAAAAGGGGGGGGGGGGGGGTGTTCAAAAATACCAAAGTCAACATTTTTTTAAAATAAAATTCACAGAAATAACTATTTTAAATGGAAAATAATATATTTTAAGCTCATTTTTATGTAGTTATTATTGACTGGCCTGGTTCCTTGGCTTTCAAACTTGTTTTGATAAGCTTAAAAGTTAGTGAATCATAATATTCTTAGAAATATTGGAGGAGCATTCAAACCAAATATGAAACTGTAAATATGTAAACTGTTCTTGATTTGGCTTTGTAAAATAGTCCTTGTCATCTTCAAATCAATACAAAGGCTTTCCATTTGCAATGGAATCCCACATATTTTTTTTTTAAATGTGTGAGACTGCATCTGTTCAGTCCCCTTTTCAGTAGCATGTATAAAACAATTCTTTTTTTTTTTAAATTTGGTGGCAGTTTTATTTACCATGAAACAATATGTTATGTGTTAAGAGTGGACAGCCACCCATACCCAATGTTTGTATTATTTTCTTTATAACCAGGACATGCACACTGCCAAATCAAATGTACATAATGTTCTGTTATTCACCTGAGTGATTGTCATGTGCCTTCAACGTTGTTCAAGTAGAAATTTAGTTCTTCAGCAAAAAATATATCAAATCTTTAAAAAAAAAAAATATAAAAATTTAAAAAAAAAAAAAAAAAAAAAAAAGTATAAAAAAGATCAGTAAACAGTTTTTATTGTCTATTTCTTTTTATTATGTGTCCTGTCAAATATAGAATTATGCTAAATTTAAGGTTTTATTTGCTCCTTGTTTTTCAGTGGATTAGCTTTGTGATTAAGTTTTCTTTTGAGATATAAATGGAGTCAATCACTTCCCAATGGGCCTGCAAATAGTAAGTTTAATTATGGTGGATAGTCCAAAGCAATGATTCTATCCAATTTAAAAAGAATAATGAGGATACATCGAGTCACCCTGCAGTTTTCAGAGTGCCAGAAGTCACCAAATGTGTGTACTATTACAGCCTCTCTTTAAAGTTAATGAAGACCGAGTTAATAGAAACACAAGACAAGTAAAGTTATTTTTCAATAACTTTTTACAAATTAATATAAAATTAATTTATTTTTAAATTCTGAGTTAATAGGTAGAGATGCTCAAAGATATTTTTTAATGTGTAGCAATGACAAGTTTAAAACAGCTGTCCTAGTTTAACTCAACTAGTGTGGGAAAAGAGCACCTCTCTTTGAGTAGACTAAAGGAATTTTGTTCCACTTTTCAACCACTAAGTCAATCAGCTTACATTAAAATACTAAAATTTCTTTGTTTCAAAACCAAAGGAGGAAACTTAATATATATTTTTTTGTTTAAAGTTAATTTTTTAATTGCTTTTAAGATAACAGTACAAAAAATATACATCTATTTAACAAAATTCAGGAAGTCATTATTAAATTAAGCAAGGTTAAAACATGTTATTTTTCTATACTTTATTATTTTAAAGAATGTTTCATAATACTCTGTCCAAAAGAGATATCCATTGCAATGTATTGAGGAGCTTATATTCTCAAATTTTATAAAATAAAATTAATAAAAAATGTTTAATGTATGCTGGTACATGTCTTTTTAAAAAAATGTTTTAAACCATTACAAAGCAAAGAAGACAAAATAAGTTACAGTAGCAGAAAATGTACAACTATAGAAAGAAAAAAAACTTTCAGTCATAAGGTACATTTTAATAACAAATTGAAAAAGAATCTATGCAAGGAAAGTAAATGTAAAAACTTTATGTGCACATTTTTTTTTTAATTTTAAAAAGGTAGATTTTATTTAAAAACTGACTTGAGATAATGAAAGAAATTAAACAAACCCTAAAACAGTTCTTTGTATAAATCTTCTATTTCTATATGCATTTTTTTTATTATTTTATATTAATATTCTAATGTCCCACCCAATACAGATTTATTACACCAACAATTTCAGAAAAACAACAAAAGAAAATATTTCACACTAAAGGCACTTGTGATATTTTAATTTTTTTTTTAAGAATCTCATCTAAGCACAGTTATCTGGAATTTAATTTCGCAAAATCAGTGGCATCATATTTCCTTCATCTTCCCCTTGGAAAACAGGAAAATCTGATTTTTGGGGTTGGGCTGAAAATTTGAAAGAATGTATTATCTGCAATGAGTTTATGTGCCAAGTTTCAGCTCGATAGGTTGATAGGATTTAGTACAGTAAGCCTTCCAAAGATTTTGCCACAAACCCAGAAAGAAATACACCAAAAAAAGCCAAGTTAATATAAAGTATTTTTAAATAAGTGACATCAAGTGGGTTGATAGTAAGATTAGCTGCCCTTTATTTAAGAAACATTTTGCAAAATTCTTACATTTTATAGTATCTATTGTAAATCCTTAATCTAATAAAATCTCAGCTAAATTTCAACAGAAACTCCATGTAATAAAATGATAAAGCAATTATCTTTAAAAAGAAAGTAAGGAACAGAAAACAGGTCAGTGTAAGTAAATTACCAGAGAGATTTAAATTGTGTAGTGTCACAGGTGAGATTACTCATTCAAAAACAAAATTATATGACTTAGATCTTAAAATTTACTACTGAAAAAGTGAGCTGGGTGAATAATGAAATTCATACCAAATATATGACACCAACTTATAATATCAGAATTAATTGAAATGGAATGGCTTTTTAAATTGATAGCAGGCTACTTTTTTATCAAAAGAAATTTAATAATAACAGCTAAGTATCCCATTTTTGTATTACAAATGGTAGCCTATATTTTGCTTGAAAGCAAAAATGAAAGTTAAAATTAATGATGGTATTGATGGTACAAGGAGTGGCAGAAATAAAAATACACAAAACAGGTGTTAAGGCCACAGTTGATTAATTCATTTCAAAATCATTTCAACAGTATCAAGCATTCAAGTTCAAGCTCAAGAAAATTTGACCCTTGAACTTGAGATTGCATAAGTAAAAGATACAGTTTTACCAGTCTCTATTAAAGATAAAGGGTCTTTACAGATGCTCTAATCTAATTGTGCTCATTAAATTATTATGCATTAGCTGGTAATTGTTGCTGGAATCAAAGCACAGAAAACATCTTGTCCTGCTTTGTTTTGAAGCTCCCACTTTACAATGACATTAACCTGTCAAAATATAAATAAATATGCACCATAAACCAAATGGGATATGTTCAGATTATTTTAAAAAATCAAATGATCAGGTACCTAATTTTACAGATCACTATAAAAACTCAAACTTCACTTTGGACTCCTTAAAGAGTGCCTCATTAGAAGGCGGCCTACTCCTTAGGGGCCATTCATAAATGAGGTCACACAAATTTTGATCCCCCCCCCTCGTCACAACAAGTTAGATCCCCCCCCCCCTAAATATAACGTAGCATATCTCTGCACCCACCCCACCCACCCAATAAAAATTCCCTGTATCCACTACTGTCCTTTACAAGCCCTTAAATTCACCTCCCATGGATATCAAATTACTGCACCTGTGTCAGAAACATTTCACTAAAACAGTGGTTCTTAACCAGGAGTAAAAGTACCTCTCCAGCCCGGAGATGCGGAAGATCAGAAAATTGTATTTGCTGCCATTGCTAGTTGTTGCTGATTTATTCTTTTTAAATCAGTTTTTATGCATTTTGATTAGCAGAAGTAATTCTTTTTCTGGTGAGATTTGTTTGCGCATTATTTCTATTGACAAATTTTTCCTTGTTTATAGAAAGCTAATTAAAGAAATAAAACTACAATAACTAAATTATTTAAATATTTTCATATTTTAAATTTTATTACAATATAATTTATATAGTTAGGGGGAATGTTTAAAACGGATTGGGACTGCAGTGCTGGAAAAAGGTTAAGAATCCCTGCCCTAGAGCATTTACTAAGAATACCCTCCCACCTCCACCAGGTAAACCATTTTTTCCATTCCATCCCACTTCACGTGGTAGTCCTTATTCTATGACTCCTGTCTCCACATTTTGAAATAAATTCTCTCAACTGCCAATGTCACTACAACCATTTTCTCCCCCTCCGTGGCATCCTGTAACTTAATCAGAGGCCATTTTTCGGACCTTGCCTACCTGTACTGATACTCTCAGTGATCATAGTTTAAAAATAAAATAATTTTAATTGTATAAAAGAATAATGTTAAAAATGTCTGTAATTTAGGGTTATTAAGTGCAATTCTTTACTATATTTCGCTTTCCATGCGCGTTATATTGCTTATGCCCTCCCCCCACCCCATCCCCCACCCAAGATGCATGGCATCAATTATGGATGGCCCCTTATACATCTGGAGAGAAAAACTTTAATAGATAATACCCTGCTTTACTTACAGATGGGTAAGCCTTGAGAATTGTCAATGTTGGCTGATAATCCTGTGCAACAGATGCTTTGATAGGACATGTTAGTCCTGAAGAAACACAGGCATTGGGGTTGTCCAGTGGAAACTTGACAAAAGGAAGTTCCCCAATTTTGCCATAAACTTTAGAAGTCAACTCCAATTCATCTGCATCTATAAAATAAATATTATTAAGAAAACTCATAGCAAAAAAAATGTTATTCAATTCTTTATTTGTTTTTTTACTTTATGATGCTTTTATTACTTGATGTTGTCACAAATGACTGGGGTGGGGGTACAGGACAGAGCTCCATTGTGGTTAAGATAACTTTTTGGATGGACGGAAACTGCAGTTAGTTTAGGGACGCCATTGTTATGGGGGTAAATTAAGGTTAATATATTTTCGCATCTTGGAGATAGAGGGGATGGTTTCTTTCCATGACTTTGCATGATAACTTTTGGGTTAACAACGGGAAGTTCTAATTAACCGGAAATTAGGGGGCAGGTGTGTGTTTATAGATAGCATTCCTGGACCACCTATGGGGGTAGAGAATCACATATAAGATAGAGCTTTCACGGAGTTAAAGTTAGTTGAGGAAGAGGGAAAGGAGCGACAGTAGGCAGTTGAGGAAGATAGAGAAGAGCTACGAGTCAGTTGAGGAAGAGGGAAGAGAGTTACGACGTTAGTTGAGGAAGAGAGAGAAAAGAGCTACGATAGAATTGAGCAGTTGTTAGGGAATAGTTGCTAGAGACCAGGAGACGACAGATGACTAGAAGAACTTATATCTTAGAAATAAACACACTTTGATTATCGTTGGACACCTGGAGTTTGAGTTGTTGCACTTCGTTCAAGTCTACGTTGTGCTTTTGTCTGTCTCAATGCCTAGATACGCACCATATAAATCACAGAGAGGAGGGGTCCTGTACTGAACGCTACTACATCAATACAGTTGGTTATAAGTCAGGACCGGAGCCCTGCTCTGTAACAACCGTTCTGTGACAGATGTTTTCCAGTGTAAGTATGGATCAGTTATCTGGGGGGTTGTTTTTTTTCACTTTAGAGGTCAAGAACTATTTTAATGTTGCATAAACTATAAACATTAAAACTATCAAGTATTTTCAAACAAAGATCCTTACAAAACCACTTACTAGCAGAAAATGAAAAGTCAATGCTAACAGTGGTCCCTTTTAGAAGAATTGCTTTTCCTCCATTACAAGTCCCATTGAACGAAACACTTTTTAGAGCACCTGCAGTGGAGCCTAATAGAAATAAAAGAAAAATATAAATTATCTTAATGTGAAGCGCAAATATTTTGATATTAATTGATAACTGGTAAATTGACAATGACAATGTGATGGCAATTTCCTAGAATAAAATGGAACTGGCAATTGACAGCAATCAAGTTCAAAATCTGTTGACCATACAGTCATACAGTCATGGACCAAACTCAATTACACTCAACAATAAAACAATAACCAAACAATACATTATGATTCATTGAATAAGTTAGTAAAAAAATTATAGTTATAAAGTATTATTATTAAAAGTATTATTCGACAATAAATTACATTAAAATTATTAAATTATTAAGCCTAATGACTAATGACAATACTTTTTTTTTTTTTTTTTACAATTACCGCAGTCATGAAAATCAAGAGCACATAATTGTTGATGCATTTGAATAGGTTTGTAACATGCGACAAATGTCAGGAAGGCAAGACAACTAAGGAATTTAATAAAAGCCATTAATTAAATTATTAAGCCTAATGACTAATGACAATACTTTTTTTTTTTTTTTTTACAATTACCGCAGTCATGAAAATCAAGAGCACATAATTGTTGATGCATCTGAATAGGTTTGTAACATGCGACAAATGTCAGGAAGGCAAGACAACTAAGGAATTTAATAAAAGCCATTTCACTTGATGTTGTCAGTTGTACTGTGTGAACTGGACAAGGAAGTTTACTTAAAGAAAATTCCGTCGTGATTGTCACCTTACACGTTATCACGTGATTTACTTATCATGTGATTTGTGTTGTAGTTGTAGTGTAGCCTGACTACATGTGCATTATTATGCCGTTTCGCATAGCTTATAACATTTTATTAATGCATGGCCAGACCTATTAGTCATTAGACTAATGGTCCAGCACCACTTAATTTACTCTCAAATAGGACCTAATTCAGATAACTTTTTTTTAAAAAATGAAATTATGACTGAAATGTAAAATATAATAAATGGAAAAAGCGATGTTTAAAAATAAAACTTTTTTTTTTTAACTGCTTACTACTGGTATTACAAATTATGATCATTACACTGTTTACGGTATTACTAAGACCGAGAAAAGATTTCTTGACGTATTCATCAACAGAGTGGTTGCAATTTTATCTATTATCTTTTTTCAGATCACAATATATAAATTTAAAATGTTAGCCCTAAGAGTAGCTTTTATAGACTACACATATAAGCCAAATGACAATTGAATTGAACATGCATTTTATTTAATTTATGGGATCTCGAACTAGTAATAGTAAAAAATTTCTGCCTTATTACTATATTATATTACTTACTTATTATTTTGTCCACGACTTTTTCATTTTAAAACATAATGCCTCCAAATTTTCAAGAGACATTCTCAATACAAATTCAACATAACGAACAACAAAACTTTTATATATCATTAAGTCTTTGTATTTTGGATAATTTTATTTGAGGGTTTGTTAGAAAAAACAGGAACAGAAAAATTGGAAAAATCATGATTTTTAAAGGAAAAAAATAACAAGTTTATTTATATTTTAAGTAATTGTATTCTTCAGTTAAATTTTAAATCACTTATTATATTTATAAAAGGTAAGTAGAAGTCTTTTTTAAAATAAAATTGAATGCAGGAGTTTATAAATAAAAAGTGCTAATTCACCCATAAAAAAACTAACACAAGCATACCCATACCGGGTATGTCATTAAATTTTAAAAGGTAATGGGGATCTTCTGCCTGTCATTTTCCGGTTAGAATGCCCTACAGACTTCCTTGCCTTATTGATGAAACCCACAAATCTCTCCTTCATAAACTTTGTCACCGCCATCTGCATCCAAACGGTCCGCCTTATTGGATGTGGAAGGAATTCTAAGTTTTGCAACAGAAATTTAAAATTTTCTCTTGCACCTAAAAGAAGCCTAACATTAACAACTAATCATAACTCTGAATCTATACAATTTTTAGTTTCTTTTTAATATTATTCAAGTGATGTGTTTGTTAAAATGTATTTCTTTTTTTTGTTCATTTAATTTGAAATATTTGTTGATAAAGTTAACAGTTTTCTTATGCCTATGTCCTAGTAAAAATGTAATTACTATGATGATGTTGAGTCTTTTTTATTTATTTTAACAAACTTTTTATGGACTAATTCATTCATTATCTAATTTTAAACAAGTCACAGTGATGCAATTTTCACAAAAATATATAAGAAATAATTTTAATTTTAGACTTAGAAGTGTACCAGAATGCATAACCATATTTTATTGGAATTATGATTGATAATAGTATACTTTTAATAGTAGTAGCAACTGCTTTTTATTGTGTTATTATTCCATTAATTATAATTTATAAATACCACTAAAACTAGCCCTATACTTATAATTAAAGAAATCAAGGGACAAAACAAGTCAGAAATTGACCGGACTACACGAGCTACAATTATTAAAATTATTTAATTTATTAAGTTGTATTAATTTATAATAATCTTGTAAAACGTTTTCCTCTTTATTAACTGATTAGTCTTCCACGGATTATTAAAAATGAACTATAATGAAAATATCTTTAAATTAAATTGGTAACAAGAACCATTTCTGACAGCCCAATTTTTTTTGTGAGGGGGTAACTACTAACAATTTTACTTTCTTACACCTTCCAGTCCGAAAGGCATAACTTTTGTTTGTTATTGCTATTATTAATGAAGTAAAGTTGTTAACCTTTGTGAATGAATGAAGCAGTATTGAGATAAACCACTATGTGTTTGAATTTGACATTAAAAAATAATAAGCAATTAACGTACATACCGATGTAAAAAATTTAATGCGTTACTGGTACAAATTTATTGCTGCAAATAAGGTATTCCCAAGTTTGGAAAAATATGTGCACTACATCACCGACAATTTGAATACTATTATTATTAGAAAACTGTGGCGTAAAATGCAAAAAAACTACACCCTCACTATGCCGTATGTTATATTGATACACAAGTTCTTGCATTATTTCTGGATATGCACAGACCATGTGTACGAGTGCAGTGCCTAATGATGCCTGAATAACTCCTAATACTTGTCTTTCGGGACACTCATTGTAAAAGGCCCCCATTTATGACATAGGGACCTTCTCTTAAAAGCTGGCTGTTACTGAGAAAGTCGTCTGCATACCTATTAGTCTCACTCATAAACATTTGAGTGATATTTAGTATAAAAATTAAAATTAATAAAGTACTTAAATGGGGTGCTGATGCCATGAGGGATATTTATAGGACCTGTTTTGTCTAAAAATTCAGAGGGGTCATCTATATCCAGTTGAGGGCTCCTAATACTAAATCAAGGATAGTTTGTTCAGTGTCGCTGTCAGACATTTTTGAATTTTACGATATTACTTGCAGCACAGAAAATATGTAAGAAGCAATCTGATTAGCTGGTATGAAGACCAACCAGCCAATCTCGAGGCTTCAATTATCGAAGATCGGCTATCCATCTTTTACGCTACACCACCCAGCCATCTCAAGAGAGTTAAGCGAACTCCCCCTTGCCTTGTTGCCCTATTCATTCCCCTTTTTTTCCCATTTTGGATACTACTTATTTGACATGTCTGCTGTCATGGTGGCCATGTAAAAAAAGTAGTACCTAACACTGAGAAATGGGTATTACCAGATTGCGTAAATTTACCAGAAATAACTCATGCTTGAGCAGTTAATTTTGTTTAAGTAAAATCTTAGTTTCTGTTACTGTAATTTTAAAATATATATATTTAATGAAATACTTTTCTCAGTGGGATGACAGAACTTCAAACTAAAAATGTGGCTGGATATTGTCAATCATCATCACAAGATATGAATACTGAGGAAAGAGCTGGAAGCTTTCCTGTTAGCCCAGAACTCATTCAAATTAAGGCAGTCAGTGAGGATGAGGTTTGTTCATTTCATGTACTTGTATTTCAATAGTGTTCAGCAATAATATTGTGCTAACAGATAGACTAACATTATTATAGTTATATCATTAGTGGTGCTTTAGCCCACGTAGGGACCTGGCTTAGTCCACTACATCCTTCCATTTGGATGGATGCAGGGAACACCGGCTGGTGTAAGTCCTTCTCTACATCATCAATCCATCTCAGTCTTGGTCAACCGTTGAGCCTTCTGCCCCTAGATTCTGCCTATAGGCAGAAACCTTGTAAAAGCTTATATTCAGTGAGAATCTAAATGATTTCTTTTTTACATTTCTTCAGGTGAGAAGAAGAATTGACGCTTTTATCAGAAGCAAAAGATGTGAAGTAGATGAGAGGAATATTCGTGAATTTATTTCTCCTGTTTTAGCAGGTATTGTGCTGGTTGAAAATTATTTGCAGTTGGAGTTTTTCTGGTATTTCTTATACTATTATACGGAACAACTTTTTTGTGGAAATTAAAGCCTTGTAATCCTGTCTGACTATACAATCATACTTTTATATTCTATAAAAAGATTAGTTTTTCATTTTCTTATGAAATACTCATCCAATTAGAACTATTATAAATTATTTAATTTTCAAATATTTACCTACAGAATCTGAAACAAGCTGTGCCAGAACGGAGGCTGTGTACATTCACAGAGAAGGAGAAAAAAGTCATATAAGTTTAAAGAAAGTGGAAAACACATATGGTCCCCAAACCCGTCTTTCAGCAAATGAAGATTCTACCTTTAAAAAATATCTTCGGGTTCCTTTAGATGTTCAAAGAGCAGAAGCCGTGGAGGAGCGATTGGCCAACATGGAAGCACACTTGAACACTAAAAGTGGTGATACCCTTTGTGTATTTATTATTGTATATTAAACTTCTATTAACTATAATACATTTTTTAAATTTAGCCAGAAAAAGCTGAAAGTGTTATTTTATTAGAGAACTTAAAAATGTTATTTCTGGCTATGAAATGAATATTTCATTTAGGGCACAGTATATTATTATTATTATTATTACAGTGGTCTAATATAGTGCGTTACTCCAAGATAGGGCTGGGCTCACCGTGTTGCACATAAAAATATTAGCAAACATAATCATGATATTAAAAAATTACATACAAAGAAAAAAAGGAAATATATATCACCCCGCCTACCTCAGAACTATTTACATGTCAAGCCATGGACGGCACCCAGCAGCATTGTTTATCGATCATATATACTATATATGCTCGTAAAATTAGTAAAACCTTGAACAATGATGAACTTGTCAAAATACTGAATCTCAAGTGTCGCATTGAGTCCTGCAATTTAAATGCCACCTATTCAAGCCATCTTACTGTATCTACAGAAGAAAATAATTTTTTAAGGCTTTTACCTGATGGAGCAGGGATGTTGGATTGCCTCAGCGATTATTGAACATCGAACTTATTAAAGACGAACCGGGGTATTTAGTTAAGTTTTTCTGTATTTATTTTTTACACAAGTATTTGCGTGATTCTTATGAGAGAAGAGTGTAGTGATGACAGTTATTGAAGCCCTAGACTAGGTTGATATACTTGATATGAGTCTGACGTCTAGACATGTACTTTTCACACTGGGTCCGAATGTGTTATTCAGAATGCGAGACGCAGACTTTTATAGAATAGAAAGAATGGTGACAACAACAAAAAGTTGAAAACTACATTATTGTATTACTCAGAATTATTGCTATCATGTTCTTTCAATACAGGAAACTTTTTATCATTGTTTATTTGTGCTGGGGCCTTGTGGGCTCTGTGTTATATCCATTGTAAATGAAATATTTTTCAACAGTTATTTTTTTTTTTCCCAAAATTTGTTACTTCCAATTTTATGCAGTATATGTTCAAAAAGTAATGCTGGACCTTGTTTAACGCATTCTAAAACTTAATTCAACGCTGAAGTTTTAGTAGTCATATTTATGCTAGGTTATCTTTCAAAATGAAACAGAGATGTGATGATCCTAATTCATGACCTTTAAAATTGTCATTTAGCATGGGGAAATTCAGATGGGGTATAGGCGCTGAAAATGGCAGATTGAATTTTAGAAAATCTGCTGTATTTGAGTTTGAGTTAAAATCAAATGGGTGAAGATAAAAAAAAATGAAAATGTATTAAGTTATCATGTCCTTTTGTAATAAAGTACTTATTTTAGATTTTTTTTTTTTCTCTTCAGGGACCAATGACATTTTTGCTAGGATAAAATCATTGGAGCAAAGAATCAGCTTTTTAGAAGGTGTGTCACCTGAATATTTTAAAAATGGGGTAAGTGATTAGCTTGAGTCCACATTTGAACCATGTATTTCAATGAGGATCAGCAACAGAAGAACAGCCAAGATCCTATGATATTTTAATGATTGATCTACAGACAGTTTTACTTACTTCACTGATGCCTTTTACTCTGCCTGTGACATAGGCTCTCTACAATAATTTTCCATTCATCTTGGTCCTATGCTTTCCTTTCCATTGTGTACCCCATACTTTGTGTCTGCGTCTTTTGCCAGTGTCTCCAAGTAGTCTTTGGCCTTCATCTCTTTTCCCCTATGGATACCATGTTAAGGATTGTCTGGTGATGTTTTCTGAGGATTTACGAAGAGTGAGCCTTATCCACCTCCATCTTTCCTTTTGATGTCTTCAGCAATAGGCTCTTGGTATGTCCTTTCCAGTAATTTGTTGGTGATGATGTTTCGGTCATTTTTTGTTCAGGATTTTATTTCTTAAGCAATTGTTTGTGAAGGTCTGTACTTTCTGCGTGATGCTCACTGTTCTCCAAGTATTTTCGGCACCATAGAGCAGGACTATTTTGTCATTTGTGTTGAAAATTCTGACGTTATTTTACATAGTAACCTCCTTTGACTCCCATATTTTCTTTAATAGCACAAATGTTGACCTAGTCTTTTCAATTCTAGCCCTGAAATCAGCTTTGGATCCACCATTTATGTCAATGGTGCTGCTCAAGTAGGTGAAGGCCTCCACTTCTTCCAGTGCATTTCCTGCCCGGAGGTATACTCTTGGTTAGCTGAGTTTACCTGCATGATCTTTGTCTTACTTTTATTTATATTGAGCCGCACTGTGCTGAAATTTCTTTTGCATATAGACAGTATAGTCTACATGAAAACGTAACCTATCAAGTTTTAAGGAAGCAATTTTATGCTTAACACTTTAAAACTATATGATGTTGTTGGGCATCAACTGGTTTTAACCTTTATATATCCTCAATATGCAGAACGGTGTCCATATAACTATAACAAAGCAACAAGAAAAATGCATGAAAAATCTTCCCTGTAATATGTTGACATCCTTCCTAAAATGATACATCACAAGTTTTAGTTAGTCCAATTTTGTCAAAGTTTCACCTTTTTACATCAATCAAAAGAAATTTTGTCAAAAATAACTCACATGATGAACTTAATAGAAATTAAGATGTAATTAGAAACTTCATTGGTTAATTGCGCTAGCTGTAGTAATTCAGATTCCGTATTTAAATTTAACGTTGTGTAATAAAAAATATTGTCTGTCTTGACAAAGTTATTTTTTCCATCCTATAATTATAAGCTTATTTTTCATTGTCCCAGGGAAAAAGTCATGTGAATGGAAAAGCTTTCTTTAAACTCTATGCTTTATGTAGATATTAATATAAAGTGTTAAAAATATGGATCCATTATGTTTTATCATTATTTTCTAATTGTGCATAAAGATTTGAGAGATTTTTTGATAATTTTTTATTTCTTGTTATAGACATGACTGGTATTTAATTGTTTTTAATCATACTAAAGAGTGTTACTTCTATTGCTAAAGGTATTTTTTTAAGTTGGAAAGCTTGGAGACTTCAGCCACATTGCACACTGCACACCTATATTACATGGCTATAAATTTTGTCAAGTGCTGAAGATTATTTTTACAAACAAGATTTTTAATTAAAAAAGATTTAAAAAAGAAAATAAAACCAACTTGTTGAAAAGATTTTTTATCAAAGAGGAGTTTAAAAACAGTAAAAAGAGTAGAAAATAATTTTTTTTAAATTCAGTGTAGAAAATCACTTTATTTGGCCAAAGATTTTGAATTAAATTTGGATGAAACTTAATGTTTTATTTTTATTAATTTTTTAAAATATTTTCTGCACAAACTGTGTGCATAATGCACTTTAAAATTTTAACAAATTATTTTCTTTTTTTTAATGTGTTTAAACTCATCTTTGATAGAAAAGTTGTTGTTTTTTTCCTACTTTTGAGTATTAAAATTGTAATCTTTAAATTAAAGACAAAAGTAAAATTATTTTCTTATTTTTAAAAAAAAAAGAAAGCTTGCAAAAGCCCAGTTAATGTAACTGAACTATTTCCTAGGCTAAATATAAGTAGAATTAAATGGCAGTTGTGTTTCATACCCCTGGAGGCATAGTTTCCGTTGATCTGAGTCTAAATGCCAAAGGCCCTGCTCTCGTCTGAGCTCCTCATGAGGCAGATGTGATCAACCGAGCGAGGATCATGTGTGACAACAACAAAATTATGCTACATAGTTACAAACGCCATGGATTTGTGAAATACTTTTAAAAGTGCAGCTCCCCGAGAGTCATGGTTATGTTTTGTTTTTTTCCCAGATTCCTAAAACCAATCGGACATCAAAGTTGAGTTCATCAAATTGTGAAAGTCAGTTTGGAGAAAATCAAAAAGATGTATGCTATTTTCACACTCTTCATTTAAATTATTTACTCATTCAGAGTTTTTTGGGTTTTTTTGTAGCATAAATTGGTAGCCAGGTGTTTATCTGCACTTTTAATTTTTTTATTATTTGTATTGTTTTTTATCTTTTTAGCATAATTGTTATATATAAATGTATGACAATTATCCCTATGTTAACATTATATAGCATTTTTTATGTATCTATCTCGCTAATTGTGAAATTGGCAATAATTTGTTTAAGTTTAAGGACAGTTCACTATTAATTGTATTAGTATTTAATATAAATATAGTAAATAGTTACATTAGTATTAGGGGAATGCTCTAAGAGAAAAAAAACAATTGTTATACAAATAATTTACACAGCTTATGTGTGGGACACACTTAATCAGGCTATATGAAATCATTTATGCCTGTATTTGTTGAGACACCAAAGTAAGAACCTATAGAAATGTTTTTGATACCTTGCTTTGAGTATTCAGTTTCAGGCATGGAAACTCAAGCTATAAATTATTAAAGTAAATTGATTTGGGAAAAAATAATTTGGTCTCAATCAATGTTCCTTTTAAGCTGCGCGGCTGCACAGCTGTCTCAGACGCAGTGCAGCAGTTTTGAGTATCCACGCAGCCATTTTACATGTGTGTGTTTGTTGGCTCTAACAATTTGCACAAAAAAAACTTATGCTGCAAATTTTTGCACACAACTGTATGATTTTGCACACGAACCAGCAAAACTTAGAGGGAACATTGGTCTCAATGTATATTCATAATTTCAAAATGCAAATCTTGCTATTTTTAAAGTCAAGAATGCCTATAAAAGTTCTTATATTTTCTCATGGTCTTGAAGTTTTATTTCATTGCTGAATTATATTACTATACTCAACTGACCCATGCTAACTCAAGTTGAACCATTTTATTCTCTGTATGTAGTGACACAAATTTTCTCCCCTATTTCAAAAGCATGACAGCTTGTCAGAGATAGACAGTAGGATTCTTCAACTAAAACAGGCCCTGAGACAGAAAGCCCAATATAATAACGTGTATCCTGGTTGACAGGTAATGTCAAGTTTTCTTTTTACACACAATATCTTATGGATAAATAGGAAGAGATATGTGTTATTATTATTAAGAACGATATAACACAGACTGCTTTCAAGTAAGCAGTGTCAATAAAATATTAATAACAGGTTACGTGACATCTTGATTAAAATACTTGCTTGAATAAAATAATTTTATTAAATCTGTCTCCCATCCTGTTATTAATATTTGAATCATTAATATTTAATACTTTATAAATGAGTGAAAATGTTCTTCATCATCATGTTTGCAATTACCTGCTGTAATACTAATATGATTTTCTAGTTGGATGATTTTGTTTGAGGATGATTTTTAGGATCTATACAAGAGAGGCTCTTCGCTTATAATTTGTATAATTTTCCTAGTTTTATGTTTTTAATAAAATAATATGTAAATAATGTGATTTAAAAAATTAAATTGATATTTAAAATTTATACACTAGAGAATTATGAGGAGTTTCCAGAAACAACATAGAGACAATACATTTTAGAAATAGTAAATTCATATGTGCAGTCCTGTGACTTAACTGGAAATACTTTTTTGGCATATTTTTGGATGGTGTCCCTGCCATGAGGGAAAATTTGAAAGGTTTTGACTCGCTGATGCAACAGATGAATTCAGCTATCATGGTCTGTTTCATCCACAGAGAAGCACTAGTCATTAAAACAGTTTTAACCGAGTTTAAGACTGTGCTGGACATGGTGGTGAAAATTTTTATTATATGAAGATAAGTTCACCAAACTTTTTTGAAAGTATGGAAGCGGACCATAGCAAACTCATGCGAGACATGGACATGCAAGGGCCGTCCCAAAGGAAAAGTTTCATCTCATTTGACCTGAGAGAAGAGATGCTGATGGTCTGTTATTGTGAAAACGTAAAGGATTTTGTAAAAGTACTGAGCAGTGAGTGTTGGTGTTCCGAACTAGCTTATGTGGACGATATATTTCATGAATTAAACATTTTGAAGGGTGGAATGCAAGGCAGAAATTAAAACATCTTGAATTCAACTGAAGAAATTGGCAATTTGGAAGAAGCATGCATCTGCTGTAAATTTGGAAGTGTTTCTCAGTGTTGTTCATAGAAATTACCAAGGAATTCTTCAAATGATTATGACCCATTTAGATGCTATGTTGAATAATGTCCGCAGATTTTCTCCATCGATATCTGTTGACCCTTACGACTGGGTTAGAAACCTGTTTGGGGAATTTGAATCGTGGGCAAGGACACTTTTAATTTGAAGAAAGATAAGTTCTTTAACGTTTCGAGTAACAGAGCACAAAAGCTAAAACAAGAGAAGAGTTGAATGTGGAAGCCTTTTGGTTACTAGTTGAAAACAAGTGCCCGGCTATCGCTGAGAAAGCTCTGCGATTTCTGTTGATGTTTTCAACTTTTTACATGTGCAAGTTTGGATTTTCTGCTATGACACCACCAAACACGAGAACGGCTTAAAGGGTCTCTCTCAGCCACGAATTCAACTGCTTTGTGCCCGATTTGTAGAACTCTCAGAATAAATGTTTTGCACTGAAATGTTCACTACTGCAAACTGATGCTAACAGATAACAATAAAGTAACTAGTAATATCGGCTGTTCTGACTGCACAAGTTTATTTTTATTTGGGTTTCAAATTGCAGTGTTACAGTTCTATCAAACTGTTTTTTTGGTGCATAACTAAGTATAGGAAAATGATTTCCTGTCCATTTGGAGTAGATCAAACCCTTGTGTCACTGCATGTTGTAAGCAATCTAAATGCTCCAAAGGGTTCCCTCCTAATGAAAATATTGAAAAACACTGGTCTACTGGAACAATATAACACATGATCTGTTTGTACAAAGACAAGCACTACTAGACAAACACTACTAGAAAAATTTAAAACATGATCTGTTGGTACAGAGACAAGCATGGTCTACTCACATTTGGAACAACATAACATGATCTGTTGCCACATATAGACAATGATGGTCAACTGGAACATTATAACACATGATCTGTTTGTATACAGAGACAAGTATGGCCTATTGTAACAATGTGACATGTGATCTAATAATTTACTAATTATTGAAAAAAGCCTCTTTTGAAGCAATTTTAATAGAGAATTCAGGAAACTTTTATTAATACCTAGAAGTATGGTATCTTTTATTAATACCTATTTGGCACAAAGATTGATTGAAAATGTAAATATTTTTTTTTTAAATAATGTTGTATAACATCTATAAATAATGCAATAATATAATAATTCAAATCATTGATATAAAAAAGCTGAGGCACTTTTCTTATATTTAATGAGTACTCATATTCAAATGGCAAAATTAGTTTAGAATGTTAAAGAAGTTAAAATAAATAGTATGACAAAGTATTGAATTCTTTTTATGTTTATTGATGAATGTCTTCATGGTTCATTGGCATGTAAAAATAAATAAACAATTAAATTTATCGTACTTGTACACTATCACAGCATTACTATTTTTGAGTTAATGTATATATTAGATACACTTTTAACTATTAAATCTTATCACAGTTGGTTACTCTAAACAGTGCTATCCCATAAGATTTTGTGGTTTTTTTTGCTATTAAAAATGAAACTTTTTTTACATACTATATACATATATATATAGTATATACCAATTCAAATACTTCACAATGTTACTATTCAATTTTTGAAGTTACAATGTTAATCCTTAAGTCATACTTCTGTCACTGTTAGAACGACTTGAGGAATATTTTACACAATGAGATAGAAAAAAATGATGTTATATCTCATGTTGCATAATGCATGTCAATTTGAACTCAAGAAGACAGTTGGTAAAGTTCTATTCTTCCACATTTGGCCATACATCATCTTGTATTTTAGGCAAGTTTCTTTGCATATCTGAAATAAAATATATAAAATAAATATGAAGTGAAAGAGGTATGGTATCTTTTTATTAATACCTATTTTGTTATTTGTAGATTGTAAAGACAAAAGTGAGATAAGGATACTCATTGTTCTGCTTCATCATTCATACACACATTTTGTTTTCAGATAATAATTATGAAACAAATTCAAATTTTTTTTCTAGACAATTTTCCAAAATTTTTTACAACTTCTGCCCTAGGGAAATATCTTAACTCATGAGCCATGTTACTCACAGACAAATCATCCAATTTCACCTTAGAACTATAAAGGCTTATATTATTATAATGATGTAAATGAATGCAAAACTTTTTAATTGCCCTCTTGTCTTTTCACAGGCAGGACTGACCTGTCATGTGAAAATGAGAGCCTGACTCAGTAGTTTTCTGCGTACCCCCATTAACAGGAGATGAATCCCTTGAAGAAATGTACCATGATGTACTAGCAGGACTGGCTGAATTGTACTGACTGTCTGAAGTGTCACACTCTGCACAGTAATGGGGGCTGGCATTTGGACCACGAGGAAAGCCATCATCTTCCGGGTCTTTCATGTAGTGTCGTATGGCACCACCATGATGTATCTGTCTTTCCCTTTTCCATAATGTGTTGTTTGGCTCTATTGCCATGATCTTTTTTTTTTAAAGAAATGTTAAACAACACATTGTTGAAATTTTCAGGAAATGCAATAAATAAATTAGTCCCTTGTTACATCTGATTACATCTTATTAAAACTTAAAGCTAATTTCACAAGCAAGTGCAGCTGGACTGTTTACTTTGTAATTAAAATGTCTTAATAAAGTGAAAATAATACATTGTTATTTACTTGATTTTTGTATTTTGCTTCTATAATTTAATTATGATTATTATACGTTTTGCCAAAAAAATGTAATTACTAGCTCTCATATCACTGTGATATTTTTTAGGATAACCTTAGGCTGTATTCCTAATAGGCCTACAATCTAAATACATTATACATACACTTTCATATACAAAAATATTTAAATTTTATAAATGTTTCAGTTTTTGGGTGTTGATTTTAATATATAAGCTTAATAAAAACAGTAGACAGTGGTCATTCTTTAATTTCACTGACCTCATCACAGCACCGTCTACTAATGATGGCCTTAAAATCAATCTTTTTTAAAAGATAGTCTCTCATCTTTAAAAAGTTTGAATATTTATTTCTCCAGTTTTTCCCTAATACCCATGGGAAAATCTCATACTTGATTTCCTCCTCATCCTCTTCAACGTCATTAGCCAAATATCTGAAAAAATTTGTTCCATATTGTTTTAATGCTAAATATTGGTGATTTAAAAATTTTGTTTACAAAATAAGATGTTATTTCATTCTAAAATGCATGGGTATAACTAACAATAATGCAGGGATTAGTAGTTGAAGCAAAAATGTTTTTGTTTTTTTAAAACTGATATGTCTTTAACAAAACATAATAATGATATATTGATCTAAATATTTGGATCATCTTGTAAGTTCAAACTTATCGCATGGAATACAAAATATACATTCAGACTTACAAAGCAATGAAAAAGTTCATCCGTGTGTAGTCTTTTAGAGAAAAATCAGCTCTCTTGAAATAAGCAAACACCATGGCAATGAGATACTGAAAACATTCTGAGGTTATTAGTTCTTTGTTACCAACAGTGCAACTAATACAAATTATAATAATTATAGTTCAGTTTCAATACAATTTTTTTCTAGCATGCCATAATCTTAAAATATAACATGGAAAATAAATGTTATTTAAAGATGATAGGCTCTGGCAATGTCCTATAATTATTTTTTTAAGCACTGTTACAAAAAATTAACAATTTGGAGGTTAAAAAATTATTTTTAATACTTTGACCGACATGGCTTTAAAATAATAGTAAAATGTAAAAAAGAATATTTAATTTTAATTTAAGTTAGTTAAATCTACCAAAGTTTCTGTAGGTACCTTGTCAGCAATTCTTTTGCAACTGTCCATTTGCAGGAAATTTTGTATAACTGTGTCTTCTGAAAAAAAAATCAAAAAGTAACATTTTGCAAAACTGTTAACTTGTCTAAAAATAATAAAACTCAAAATTACAATCGGATACAAAAACCACTGTTTTTATAAAAAAAAAAAAGAAAAGAAATTACCAGTTAATTTGAAAAAATCTTTCATTTCCTTTGTTTTGACCACAAAACGAGAACCATCACATTTAGACTTCTTTGGGATTCTGTCCTGTTGCTTTTTATTCATGCTATGAAAAAAAACATCACGGGGAATTTTAGTCATTTCTAGTCCATTAGTATTTTTTGTCATTGGAAAGACAGATTTGAATGGTTGATAACGCTTGTCTTTTCTTCCTTTGCTGTTTCTTGGATAAACTTGAGCAGTTGTACCATCTCCATAATCTCCACACAGATCCCTAAAAGCACACAATCCATAATAAGTTTTCCCCTCAAAGTCATTTCTGTTTTCCTTGCCAGAGTGTATTTGTTCTGCAATAGGGTCTTCAAAACTGAAGTAGGAAAGGGACACCATACTTGACCTAAGGAGCTTTTAAAAATTCAATCAGCAAGATTATAATTAAAACATTATTATCATAGAGTTTTACAGTTTTTAAAGGTAATCTACAAACTCATTAGTTACTATTACAACATTATCAAGTAAAAGGTGTTTTAGTAATCCTGCCAGGTAGTGATACTAACAGATTGAATGATTTTGATACTGATAGTGATGCTACAGTTCATCAAATATAATATTAAAAATAACCTCATGTCCTTTTTTTATTGGACAAACTATAAAATTGTGCACTTGACCTTTGCTACTATGGTTAAGAGTGTTATTTGAGTTAATTTTTTTCAAATATCAAAGAAAAAGACCATTATATAATTATATGACTTTATAACTTATAATATAACTTATAATCGATCTCACTCTACTCAATGACAATGAATCATAATGAATGTATACACAAATACAGTCCTTATCGTTTCCCTTAGCGGCTGCCTTAGCCTTATACTGCCTTATACTTATACCTTATATTATAGATTCTTTCTTACTACGCAATATAATAATCAATATGACTACATAAGAGAATACATTTAAAGTTTAAATAGCCATTTTTTTTTAATACCTGGGCTTAGTACTAGTAACTAGTAGAGTTTACTACTACAACTAGTCTAGTCTAGTCTTGGAGTTGATAATAAACCATAATAGACTATGACTATAGATTAAATGATTAATAATAAATTTATAAAAATAAATGCAAGTTGGCATGGAATTTTCATTTTATCATGTATTAAACAATAATACATTATGCGAGCGGGTTATTGCTGACAATCAAAATTCATAATACAGGTTTTAAACTTAAAATAAAGCTATGCTACCTCTGATTTAATGCGGGAAAAAAACAAATAAATTTATTCTAAATTCAAATTATCAGTTTACAAAAACTTTTTTTTCCTGCCAGTCTGGTGTAAATTTGTCCGGAACTGTATCTGACGAGTCTTGCTACCACAGCTGGCTGTTTTTCAACAACTCAGATCAAAATGGAAATTTTCACAAGACTTTAGAAACCAAATAAATTATTATTATTTAACTTTACCAGCGCCGTGCTGAGCAAAAGCGGTGCCAGTCGCGAAGCATGAAAATACCGCCCTCAATATATAGAAAAAGTGCCTACCAGGGCCGACCATGGGATTTTATCATTTCATTCATTAAAATCACCATTAAGGTCCTGTCTAAAGACTATTTCATGCCCCCTTCCCTCCACCTTCTTCGCATGGCCCTGATATTAACTATTAAGAAATTATTTATTGTACAGAAAATAGTAAAGGTAACATGCATCGTAGCCATAACAAAAATCGTTTGACAACAGGCCTAAATTACTATTGCTTTGTAAAAAAAAAAAAAAAAAAAATTTAAAAAGCGACAAATTTTTTTCCCAACTAAATTATAGTATTTCATAAGCTTTGAATTGGATTTTTTTTTTTTTTTTTGTATATAGAACGCTTTATTTATGAACACTCAAAATGTGAAATGATTTTATTCTGTTTATATTTGATAATAAGATAAACGAAATTGCGTTGTTTTTTCTACTTGTCTCCCAAAAATGCCTGAATGAATTATAATTATATTAATGATTTAACCTTTTCTGTCTTTTAATCAGCAATGTTTTTAAAATTGATATCCCTACTTTTATTGTAGTTATCTAGCTATAGGCCTACATCAAGTTTTAATTTTATATATTGTAACATATGTGTGCCAACATTTATGTTAGTGTTTTCTTATCTTCATTAAATTTTAATTTTTTTATTTGTAGTTCAATTTGGCAATTAAATGGCATTAAAATCATCGATAGCTAAGCATAGTTTATTTGACGTTTTCCTTTTGTTTATTTTGTCGTTGACTTTTACAAATAATTTTCCATCTCAAATTATAAATTCTGTACATGGTGAAAATGAGCCAGTAAGTCTTTTTCTTCCTTTAAAATACGTTTTATTTGGGCTATCTTATTACCTACAACGTACTACATAGGCCTAGCGTGAGTTCAGGTTTTATTTCTCTCAATGTCAGACTACTTGGGGCACCAAAATGAGCTTTGATAATATTTAAGTGGTGAAGATAATGGGTTCCAGAGAGGAATCTTGTCCCCTGACAACAAATACTCTAGGATAGAAAGGGGTGCGGGGGAGGGTGGACCACCCAAGTGTCATTTTATTCTTTCTATGGAGGCGTGAAATTTTCAGACAGCTGCAGACCGTGTCATTCATAGTTTGCTAATACTAACTATTACACAAACTTCAGAGATGTGGGATCCATGGCACTACCAAAACATGGATCCCTAGCTTCCTCAGCAACCGATGCCAAGCAGAAGTGGTAGCAGGGAGACGGCACAACTCCTCCTTTGTGTTTAAGTCAGTTGTCCCATAGGGCTCGGTGCTATCCCCTATGTGTTCCTAGCATATTATCAATGACCTGCCCGAAAAGCTGACCTCCTAAGCAAGACTGTTCGCAGACGACACGGCTTTGTTTAGGACGATCGCCAACTGTTCTGACTAGGACCAGCTACAACAAGACCTCCATCGATTAGCTGAGTGGGAGATGAGCTGGAACATGGAATTTCATCCCGCAAGTACCAGATCCTGTCAATCTCCATAAGCAGAACCCCTCTACACCATCCTTACGTATTGCATGGCCATATTCTTGAGCCAGTTTCCTCCGTAAGGTACCTCGGTGTTACAATTAAATTAAGAGAGGTCCGCTGGAACGAGCACATTAACAATGTGTGCAATCAGGCAAACAAGACCCTAAGGCAAAATCTGAAGATTGGCAACTCCAGGGTGAAAGAAAAAGCCTATAAAGCCTTTGTCCAGCCGCTTTTAGAGTACGCATCTTCAGTCCGGATCCAATTCATTCAGAACAGCATCGACAGGTTGAAGGTAACAATGGAGCCACGATGAGTAATTTGGGCCAGGGCAATTAACTGTTATAGGAAAAAATATAAATTTCGGAAACTAAGCGAGTAAACAAATATCCGTTCATGACGCGTCCCATTATGACCAGCAAGGCCCCAGTACGACTATAACGTGTCTTAAGATCCTGTCGGTGAAATATATAACGTCAAGGGCCCCCGCAAAATTGAATGTGCCCAAAACCCCGCACCCTCCTAGCACAGGCCCTGGGGATGGTCACCATTGGAGGAATGACGATGACTATCCAGGCTCTACAGGATGTAAAAGAATTTTTAAAAATGGGCCGGTCCACTTCTCCAGCATTAAACAGAAACTCCTTTCTCTTCCCCAAGTGACGATGCCATGACAGGCAATGCCGGCTCATAAAAACAAGAACTCAGTTCAGGAACGCCTCATTCCTGCCAAAGTCAATCGGGGACTGGAGCAAGCTTGACAAATTTGCGTCTATTGTCTCCTGTCTTCAAATCTACAGTTCATAATATCATCGCTGAGTAGCAATGCAACCAGCGAAGTATCCCCTTCAAAACCAGGCACAGTTACATCGCGAACCCCTCTGAAACATAGGAGCCGGAATGATCAATACATTGATCTTGGGCCCTCAAAATATAGAGGAAGAGTTTGTATTATGAAAGGGAGAGCGGCAAAAATTTTGACCCGGCCATGGCAGTAATAATACTAGCTACGCCACTAGGCAGTGCATCTATCGGCACCACAACTGGCAATAATTTTTATGGGGAATTAGGGCAAAAATTGAAGGCACCGATGGTTCTTGGGCGGAAAAGGGATGTAATTTAATGTCATTTTTATCGGAAAGTAGGGCAGAAATTGAGGGCGCATATTACTCATGATCGTAAAAGGGGTGGGGGAGGGTCTGGGCATCGCCTCCCCAGAAAATTTTTGATTACTTCAAAATCAAGAAGTGCATTTTGGGATATACCTGAATCAGCGTTTCTATTTGACTATTTGCTTGGGGGGGCGGAGTTTTTCAACTGTCTGGGGGAGGCATTATTGCACCCAGTACCATATATAAATTGCACCCAGTACCGTATATATAAACCTAATTCAATCCGGTTGTGGCGCGCCCCAGGGTATTATTGGGCACAAGCTTATATTCAACATAATACTTCATTTCGATTGGCGTGAGGGAATGGGGAACAGAACCTGAGGGTGCCGAAAACCCTCGAGCAAAAGTGGGGGCAGAGGTTCCCAAGGAAAAATGGTGATTAATTCAAAATGCAGGGATGCATTTTGGTGCCTACTTCAAATTGTTTTTTTTTTTCGGACAATTTGGGAGGGGCCATTTCGAAATTCAGTTGTGAAGAGTTAAAATTAGCCATAACAACGATCAGTTACAACTTTAACTCCGCCCCAGCCCAACATAAACTAAATTTATTCCATCTGATACCCTTGAGGGTATGCTTTTTACCCTGGCTTAGTCCCTCCCCTCAAATTTTTAAAAGTCCTCAAAAAAATGTTGATAAATTTAAAATGCAAGAATGGATTTTAGCACATATCTGAATTTAGTTTTGCATCATTCTACACTAAATCGGAGAGCAATGGGAGAGATCTTGTTAAACATAATTTAAGTTTCACTTTACCTCAGAGCTATCGTTTGGACCCTGCAACCCCTGCGACCGCATGGGAAAGGGGGGGGGGGGGAGTTGGATATTTTTGTGGCTTAAAATTGTGCTGTGGAAACTTTTTGTGGCTTAAAGTTGTGCTGTGGACACTTTTTTTAAATTTGGATGTTCGGTAGTGAAGGGGGGGGGGGACGAAAAACGGCAGGGGACCTCCAAAAGTCAAGTGACGGCTCTGCTGATCTAGTTATGTAATACAAATAATTTGTTTATATTACTAAATAATAATGTGGTTTTTATCTTTTCTTAAAACTGTTTTTGTGGTAAACTACTTAATTTCTAAATGAATTTTATTTTTAACTACCAAAAAAGATTGCAACCACAAAAAAGCACGGATAGACTAGACTTCTAACACTATTTTACATGTTGAACGCAATGTAAAAAAAATAATAATAATATGCATAATAAACTTATTTCTTAATATTTCCAAATTTTACATGAGTA